TGTATATGGTTTATGAAACTGTGAAGCTTTACAGGAACAGACAGACTCATCTTCTCTCCCAGGGAGCAGCTGGTAGGTTTGAACTGCCAAATTTGTGGTAAGTAGCCCATGTTTAACTCAATGAGCTACTGGGACTCGTTGTGTACATTATAGCAGATCTCAATTCAGGCAGCCACGTTTCAAGTGTTTAATGCCACATTTGGCTTTCCTATTGAACATCACAAGTCAATGTATCTCCTTAGAAACAAGTCCCAACCTCATACACACAGACACACACACACACAGACACACACACACACACACACATCTATGCCTAGGTGCCTGGAAAGTCAACACCTACAAGGCAAGTGGGTTGAGTGAAATTAGAGATGTTCATAGTCAAGTAGGAAGACAAATGCCTGGTCTGTAGAGAGGGAGGTGACTGGCTTGAGGATAGGAAATACTGCAAGGACCTCCTAAGAGGCTGTCTATGGGCTTACGTAGCAATAATAATTTTGAACTATTTTTCTAACATGTTCTTTCTCTGTTGATGGCATCTCAGCCGTGGGTCTACCAGTCAATGAATGTGTGACTCTACTGAGAGTATACTGTGTGCTCAGCACTGCTCCAGGTGTGGTGAGAGGTAAAAGGAGCACCTTGGGAGACAACATAAAAATTTTGACAAAGCAGCAGCAGAGGAGGGCCATGTATGCGAGTGTCCCACAAGTAACCACTTTTCCACTAAGAAAAGGGAAAGTGGGCATCCTTCCCACAGCACTCTCTCCTTCTCAGCTAGGCTGACTAAGTCATTGTAGTGGTCCCACAGAATTCAATGACAGTACTCACGATTGTAGACTTTATTAGAGAAGTGAACAAGTCAGGATCATCAAAATGGTCAGGGGGGGAGGAGGAGCACATAGCAAAGATGACTGTATAACCCCACTCAAGGGGAACGAATAACAGAATTGCAGGTGAACAGATACACTGTATGGTGTAAGATATGGCAAATATATATATGCTTATATATAACAATAATATATAATAATAAAGGTTCCCTGGGGGTAGGAATGGATAAAGGGGAGCTGATAACAAAGAGTTCAAGAAGAAAGTGTTTTGAAACGGATGGTGGTAGCAATTGTATAG